CTAAATGGGGAGCATATAAAGAACAGAGAAGTACTGTTTCTACAAGTCCTTTGTCTAATGAATTACAAACTGTGTTAAGACCAGTAGGGATTGAGGAAGAAACTTTGACACAACTATACCCATGGAGGTGGAGACCACACCTTTCCATGAGGGAAGGGGACCTATTGCAGAGCAGGCTTGGTATAAAGATGGCTCCAGCATGGGACCCTCAGCATCATGGACTGCTGTTGCTGTCCAGCCCTTAACATACCTTGTGGTATGAGAATGGTATAGGGCAAAGCAGCCAGTGGGCTAACTAAGAGTAGTATGGATGGTGATAAAAAATGAGCCAGTATTATTAACCATCTGTACTGACAGCTGGACTGTATTCAAGGGTTTGATCCTTTGGATCTCTACTTGGAAGTATCAGTGGTGGCTGGTAGGTCACTAGCCCTCGTGGGGGCAAGCCATGTGGCAAGAGTTATGGGAATTAGGACAGGAAAAGAAAGTAACTCTTTTCCATGTCACAGGACATTCCCCCTTAGCCAGTCCAGGCAGTGATGAAGCCGACACGCTGGCTAAAGTAAGGTGGCTGGAGAGAACTCCAGCAGCTGGTGTAGCTGGGCGGCTACATCAAAGAATGCAGCATGCTGGCTGCATGACCGTGTGGTTGATTGCCTGCGGGGTGCCAAATAAATCCAAGAAAGATGTAATCCAGGGCAGATGTACTCCTGATGAGCAAATGAGTGCCCCTGATGGGCAGATAACCCATGTGAGAGTGCCTCTGACACAGTGGCAGGCGGATCTTTGGACCACTACCAAAGTCAGAGAATTACTGGTCTTTTTGTTTGTATGGCCTTGTAGGGTCCCAGACCAGGTAAGCACTGTGATGAAGGCATTGAGTAGCCTTATTGCTATGTATGGTCTTTTGAAAAGGGGATTAAGGCTGTCTGCCAGCCCCCCGTTGTTGAAGGGAAAGACACATTGGTTGTGGCCAACAGTCAGACCCAAAAGAAGAGACCCTGCAAGGGAGGGCCCTCTCCGGTGGAGCCCTGTTGCACAGAGCTGCAGCACCTATTCAATTGCACGTAACTGTTAAAGGTGATCTCCTGAAACCTGGACACGGTAAGAATGGAAATATTCTCTTACCAGCCCCAACCTGTTTACAACAGGGGCAGACAGTACAGTGGGAATGGCCTTGGAAAATGGAAGCCTCCCCCCCATGTATGCTGGGTAGGCCTAGTTGGACCTTGGGGGAGAGGATTAGAAGACAACTTGCAAGTCTCACCTTAGGTAACGAGTACTTGGCCTCCCCAAGTAAAGGTAACGTGGCCTGGAACAGATAAATGCTCTATTTTAAAAGGTACATTTGTACTATCATGTGGCCAATTATGAGTTCCCCTATACTGTTACATGTAGAACCTACAGATCCAACAGTGTTAGCTGATAATGTGTGGTATCGTAGAACAGGTAAGACACCTGTTCCTTCATCTATTCTTTCTCAAGATGGTAAATTAACTGTTTCAGGAGGGAGTGCTTGTGTTTTAGTAGCGTGTTGCTGCAGCCTGTATTGCTGCTGTGACCTATTGATACAAGGGTCAGTTATTCTCGCTAAGGGAACATGCAGAAGATCAAATGTGTAGATTGTATGGGGAGTTACTCTGAAGGGGTGGATTGTAAGGAAAGTAGAAAAGTTTAGTCAGGATCTCTCGCCTTACATCTGTTACAAATGGGCAAGATTCAGCACATTCACTAGAAACAAGTTATAAAAGTAGTGTAACTGTGCATGCGTGCCCATTTACTGATTCAGCATGATTGTTGTAATTATGTAATGCTTGGCTTGTGGCCGCTGTTGTGTACTAAGAGTAAAGGGTAACTGCTCTGAACTGCTCGTCGGCAGAGCACGGTGGGAGAACAGCAGAGCACATGTCTGTGAAGCTCATACCTGAAGAATAAAATATGTCTACCTTGCATAAAGCTGCCAGATATCTTCTTGCAGTTACCTGACTCACGACCTGCACAGGAAGAGGCAGAAGAATCTGAGATTCCTGCCTGACAGGACTTAGCATCATTTGTCATTAGAAAAAGGCTGATCATAACAACAATGAGCTACCCCTTTACACCCACTAGGATGACTAAAACCAAAAACAGATACAAAAAAGATAATAATAAGGTTGTCTGGAATGTGAAGATATCATTGGTTGGACAGTAAAATGATGCAGCACAGTTTAACAGTGTCTCAATGTTAAATATAGAATTACAGTATAACACAGCAATGCCACTGGTATCGGTATATACCAAAGAAGAATGAAAAAATTATATCCACCCGAAAACTTGTATGCAAAGTTCATAGCAGCATTATTAACAATAACCAAAAAGTGGAAACAACCCAAATGTCCATCAGCTAATGGACAGATAAATGTGGTAATTATGTACAATGAAATACTATTCCAGCCGTAAAAAGGAATGGAGTTTTGATATATGTTACACCATGAATAAACTTTGAACACCTTTTGCTAAGTGAAAGAAGAGTAAAGATCACATATTGTATGACTCCACTTACATGAAATGTCACTAACAGGAGAATCTATAGAAATAGGAAGTCGATTAGAAGTTTCTAGGGTTGAGGAGTATGGAACTATTAGGGAATAACGGCTAATGGATACAGGGCTTTTGGGGATGATGAAAATCTTCTAAAATTAGTGGTGATTATTTCACAACTCTAAATACACTAAAACTTACATACTTTAAAAGGGTGAAATTTATGGTATATGAATTATAACAGTAAAGCTGTTATAAAAATGCAATGGGACTAAAAATTAATGGTGAAGTATTTTTTGAAAGAGAATTATAAGAAAAATTTAAAGGCTCTTTCTCAAGCAATTTTTGGATGATAGACAAAAACTAAAACTCATAGATCATTTAGAGTTTTTCTAAAATTAGAATATTACATATGAAAACTTAAGAAATATAGCCAGAGCTGTAGTTAAAGGGAAAATTCATAGTGTTAAGTAATTTATTATAAGACAAGAATAAACTTTTTAAAAACAATTATTCCAAGAAAAATAAAAATTAAGGAACTAGAAAATAGAAAAATAAGCAGTAGAACTGATAAATAAATCAGATAATCTGATCTTTGAAAGATCAATAAAATAAACGTTTGGAAAATTTTAATTTCAGGCTAGTCTCCTTTGGTTACCTCAGGATGTAGATCACATTTTTCATGTTAGCTGGTGAAGAATTAAACTACTTTAAGTTCTTTTATGGACAGGGCATGGTAGCATGTTATAAATCACACTTTAAAAGATTGGTTTTTTTAATGTTAATTTTAATAAAATAATGAAAATGGAGATTTATCTGATTTCTCTATAGTTCTGACAGAGGAGAAACACTGGGAAGATCTTTTCGTGCCTGGCTTCATTTTCCCACATATGAGGGAGAACATGCAGTATTTATCTTTCCTGACATATCACTTAATATAATGTCCTCCAATTCCATCCATGTTGCCACAAAAGACAGTATTCATTTTTTTTTTATGGCTGAATAGTATTCCATCATGTATATATACCACTTTTTTTTTTTAATCTGTTGTTGGACAGATTCCATATCTTGGCTATTGTAAATTATACTGTAATAAACATAGGAGTGCAGATATCTCTTCAACATACTGTCTTCATTTTCTTTGGGTATATACCCAGTAGATTGCTGGCCAAATTTTTATTTATTTTATTTTATTTTTTTATATTAATTTATCAATAGACAATGTAGTTGATTTTCACGTCTCTTTACCAATTCCTCCTTTTCCTCCCTCCTTCTCCCCCTATCAACATCATATCTGTTCACTTAACAAGTTCAGGGGATTATTGTGATGGTTGTGTCTCCTTTTTTTTGTTTTTCCCTGTTTGTTTGTATATTTATTTATTTTTATTAGCTCTCACATGTAAGTGAGAACATGCAGTATTTCTCTTTCTGTGCCTGGCTTATTTCACTTAATATAATTTTCTCTAAGTCCATCCATGTTGCAGTGAATGGTAGTATTTCATTCTTTTTTACAGCAGAGTAATAGTCCATCATACAGATATACCACATTTTCCCTATCCACTCTTCCGAGGATTGTCTTTTAGGCTGGTTCCAACTCTTGGCCATTGTAAATAGTGCTGCAGTAAACATGGTATCCCTTTGACATGATGATTTCCATTCCTTTGGGTATATACCCAGCAGAGGGATAACTGGGTCATATGGCAGATCTATCTGTAATTGTTTGAGGAAACTCTTGATATCAAGAGCCAGGTGTATTATTTGTAAACATATGTAAGTCAGTTGCTAATAATCCAGAATCAATATAGTTTGATGTCTTTCTAATAAGTTTTAATATTACATTAAGTATTGGTCATAAACTTAAGAGTTTAGCTAAGATAATATGTTTCCTAGAGAAGTAATGGTGGTATAATGCATTTGTATAAGCCATCCTGGACTCCAGTTTAAGAAAAAAACTACATGTGTAGTTTATTCTTATTGTTTAAGCCAGTAGGGGCAGAATTATTTGGGCATTAGAATGAGTGAAGTTGATTGGTTACACATTTCTTTTTGACTTGAAATTGACTCACATTATGTAAAGCTATGTGCATGTGTAATTATTGGTTCAGTCTACTTCATGGATAATTGTGAGTTGATTGAATTAAAGGAAACTGAAAACATGATACTTAATAGGGTTGAGTTGCTACTGATTAGTAGTTTTTTTCTGCCTGTACATAGTTCAGGTGCACAACCTCACAAGCTCCTGTTGCTAACATGCCACCTTACAGCCTTGGTGATGGAGAAGGACCTCACCTTTGAGCCACCACTGCCACAGGGGTAAGAGATAGGCACCTTGAGTCACCTGAAGCAAGAATGCGGCAAACTTGAGTTTGCACCTACCTTGGGATCATCTGTAATGAGAGCATGCTAGCCAGTAGTTTTGTTGGATCTAGGCGTGCATACTTTTGAGATAATACCTTATGTGTGTATGTGTGTGAATACAGAAAACATCGAAGCAGTGTGGGGCCCAACAAACCTGTTTCCCAGCCCCGGCGGAACATCGTAGGCTGCAGGATTCAGCATGGGTGGAAAGAGGGGAATGGCCCTGTTACCCAGTGGAAAGGAACCGTTCTGGACCAGGTGCCTGTAAATCCTTCTTTGTATCTTATAAAATACGACGGATTTGACTGTGTTTATGGACTAGAACTTAACAAAGATGAAAGAGTTTCTGCACTTGAAGTCCTCCCTGATAGAGTTGGTAAGTTCTTTTTACTATTTGTGCATTATATTTTTTAAAAATCATATTGACATGGATGCTTTTCGATTGTTCTTTTACATTGTTGGTATTTTTACTTTTACTGGAATGCAAGCACTTCTGATAAACATTTAAATCAGTCACCTAAAAACCACAAAAATTGATCCAAAGCAAATGTTCTAAAACCACAGTTGAAGGAACTGTGAGAGATGTGAAGATTTATAAAATACAGTAGCTAAGAGAAATCTTAATGCATTTATTTTAGAATCTTTTTGTGAAGTGTTTCTTTTATTGTCTGTTACTTAAATGATAATTGTATTTTCAGCCAAAATTTAAGCAACCAATACATGTGAGCTTTATTATATATTCCTTAGGGTTTATTTGAACAAAATTTGTGGAAATGATTGACTCTCTTTTTATGTTGTACAGTGTCAGTTTTGCCTTGAAAAAATATTCCTTAAGGCATAAAGTCTAAGTGAAATAATACATATTTTATTATTAAGAAGGGTGGGATACACCCAAATTAATATTACTTTTCTCAGAGTATTTATTTTGAAATGTGTTCTTATGGTTACAGTGATGCTGTTATATTGCTTAAAATACTGGTTTATGCTTTTAAAATTATCTTTAAAAGTCTGTGTCATTAAAAAATAAAGCTTCAGTAGATCTAGACTTTGAGGGTAGAAATTTTGGGATCTAATTGTCAAGGGAAGAAACTAATCCCCTCCCTTTATTTTTCTTCAGACTGTGCTGTTGTATTGTTGGGACAAAAGAGTTTCCCCACCAAGTTAACTGCTTGCCATAACAGCAAGTTACCTTGTTAATCTTCCCTTTAGTTATCAAATGCTAGTAAATCTCTGCTCATCCTGTAGAAACATTGTTCAGTTTTCAAAGAAATTTTTCTTTAATCTTTTTTTTGAAACATTGATTATGCATATTCGTTGGAATACAGAGTTGGTTATCAATACATGTATATAATATGTGGTGATCAAATCAGAGTAATTAGCATATTAATCATTATAAACTTAATCGTTTCTTTGTGATGAGAACATTCAGTCTCCTCTCTTCTAGACATTTGATAACATGCAGTATATTATGATGAATTATAGATGCTTAACTCTACTGTATACCAGTAGAACTTATTTTTACTATCTAGCTGTTTTGAATCCACTATCCTCCCTTCCCCCTTTCCTGCCTCTAGTAACCACAGTTCTGCTCCCCCCTTCTGAAAGTTTAATTTATTATTATTATTATTGTTTCTCTCTCTGTCTCCCCTTCCCCCTCCACATACTCCTCCCTAATGAGTGAGAACATGAAGTATTTCTTTTTCTGTGCCTGGCTTATTTCACTTAACATTTAAATTTAAATCTTTATTATTATTCCTAAAGGTAGTATTAAACTTTTTAAAATATAATCTAAGATTTTTATTATGACAGTTTTCTTTTAAAAGATTTTTTTTTCATTTTATTATTTTTTATTGAAACAGTTATGCATATTTGTGGGGTACAGAGTTGACTCAGTACTACGTACAATATGTGATGATCACATCAGGATGATTAGCATATTCATCATTATAAAATGTAATCATTCTTTGTGTTCATTAACCAATTTCTTGCTAACCCCCACCTTCTTCCTCCCCCTTTCCCACTGCTAGTAACCACAGTTTTGTTCTCTCCTTCTGAAAGTTCAACATATTATTGTGATTGTTCTTTCCTTCCTTCCTTCCTTTTTTTTTTTTTAGCTCCCACTTACGAGTGAGGACACACAGTATTTCTTTTTCTGTACTGCGCTTATTTCACTTAACATAATTTTCTCCAATCTCATCCATGTTGCTGCAAATGGCAGAATTTCATTTTTTATGGCTGAGTAGTATATTCCATTACATATATATACCACATTTTCCTTTCCTAGTTGTCTGTTGATGGACGTTTAGGTTGGTTTTATATCTTGGCTATTGTAAACAGAGCTGTGATAAACATGGGAGTGCAGGTATCCTTTTTTTTTTCTTTTTCTTCCCCCCACGTGACCACCGTTAAATTATCAACAGAATCCATTTACTTGGGCATGGTCCCAATTTAATCACTTTTTCAAGGCCTCACCTTTCAGTTACCATAATAGGATTTCCCACTGTCTTAAGACTGCCACAGTGGAGGTTAAGTTTCTAATACATGGACTTTTGGAGGACACAATTCAATCCACAGCAGATCCCACTTCTCCTTTTCTTTGCCAGCACTTGTTATTTATTTTTTGTTTGTTTGATAGTAGCCATCCTAATGGATGTGAGGTGATACCTGATTGTGGTTTTGACTTGCATTTCCCTGATGATTTGTGATGTTGAGGATCTTTTCTTGTGCTTGTTGGCTGTTTATGTAATATCTTTAAAGAAATGTCTCTTCAAATCCTTTGACTGTTTTTTCATTGGGTTATTTAATTTTTTTGTTGTTAGTTTTAGGAATTCTATGTATATTCTGGAGACAAATTTTCTTTCTTTTTCTTTTTATTGTTTGGTAGATGGCTGGTATAGGGATTGAACCCTAGACCTTGATATCGGCACTATGTTGTAAACACCTGAGCTAACGGGCCAGCTCAGAAGACAGATGGGTTTTAATGTAACAGTTTGACAAGTTTATTGATAATGGTTTTAGATTCTGTGTACTAACCTTTACTATCTAGACTTATCTGAAAGACAATTAGAATATTTTTATTTTTTAACAGCATATCTTTGTGACATTGGATTTCATACATACATCAACCAAAATAACAGATCGTTACAGTACTCTAGATACCTCATATAAGTGGAGTCATATAGTTTTTGTCCTTTTGTGAGTGGCTTATTTCAGTAAGCATAACATGGCATACTTCAAAATTTTCTTCTTAAGCCTGAGTAATATCCCATTGTATGTATAGACCATATTTTGTTTATCCGTTCACCTGCTGATGGACATTTGGGTTGCTTTTACCTCTTGGTAGAATGTAAAATTGTGCATTGTGAAATTGAAAAACGTAAAATTGTGAATAGCACTACTGTGGATGTGGGTGGTACTGATATCTCTTTGAGTTTCTGCTTTTAATTCTATTGGGGCATATACCCAGAATTGGGATTGCCAGATCATATCGTAATTCTAATTTTAATTTTCTAAACAGAACTTCCATAGCGTTTTCCACAGTGGTTTCACCGTTTTACAATTCTACCAACAGTGAACAAGGATTCATCATTGGTTTCTTCTCTTGAAGACACCTTTTCATTCTTTACGTTGCTAGTCTGAGAATTTTTCAATCTCTTCACTTCCTTGTTAGTTATAAATTTTGACATTACCTCATGCCTTTGCCACCATAACTCATCTTAGACTCTTACAAGTAGCTATGCAGCTTCCTGAATGCTTTGCTGCTTAGAAATGTCTTCCACCAGTTACCCTGGGTTAGCATCTTGGTGTTCCACATTCCATAAAGTTTTAAGGCATGAACAGAATGCAGCTAAGTTCCTTGCAGGTTTATAGCAAGGGTGATTTTTGCTCCAATTTCTAATAAACTCCTTTTCATTTATATCTGAGACCTCCTTAAAATGGTCTTTATAGTCCATATTTCTATCAGCATTCTGGTCACCACCGTTTTACCAGTCTCTAAGTCATTTTAAACTCTTCTCACCAGCATCTAGGCTTTTCCTTGCCTGTTCCTCTAAATTGTTCTAGCCTCTGCCCAAAACGCAGTTCCAAAGCTGCTTCCACACTTTCAAGTATTTGTTGTAAGCAGCGCCCCACTTCTCTGGTATCAATTTTCTGTATTAGTCTGTTTCTGTTGCTTATAACAGAATACCTGAAACAGAGTAATTTATAAAGAAGCAATATTTATTGCTTACAGTTTTGGAAGCTGGGAAGTCCAAAGTCCAGGGTACACATCTGGTGAGAGCCTTCTTGGTGGATAGTGTCTCTTCAAAGCAGAGCAGGATGTCACATGGCAGATGGCAGAAGCAGTGAGAGAGCTAACTCCTGGCTCCTCCTCTTAAAAGTTCTCAGAACCACACACGTGACCACCGTTAAATTATCAACAGGATGTCACATGGCAGATGGCAGAAGCAGTGAGAGAGCTAACTCCTGGCTCCTCCTCTTAAAGTTCTCAGAACCACACACGTGACCACCGTTAAATTATCAACGGAATCCATTTACTTGGGCATGGTCCCAATTTAATCACTTTTTCAAGGCCTCACCTTTCAGTTACCATAATAGGATTTCCCACTGTCTTAAGACTGCCACAGTGGAGGTTAAGTTTCTAATACATGGACTTTTGGAGGACACAATTCAATCCACAGCAGATCCCACTTCTCCTTTTCTTTGCCAGCACTTGTTATTTATTTTTTGTTTGTTTGATAGTAGCCATCCTAATGGATGTGAGGTGATACCTGATTGTGGTTTTGACTTGCATTTCCCTGATGATTTGTGATGTTGAGGATCTTTTCTTGTGCTTGTTGGCTGTTTATGTAATATCTTTAAAGAAATGTCTCTTCAAATCCTTTGACTGTTTTTTCATTGGGTTATTTAATTTTTTTGTTGTTAGTTTTAGGAATTCTATGTATATTCTGGAGACAAATTTTCTTTCTTTTTCTTTTTATTGTTTGGTAGATGGCTGGTATAGGGATTGAACCCTAGACCTTGATATCGGCACTATGTTGTAAACACCTGAGCTAACGGGCCAGCTCAGAAGACAGATGGGTTTTAATGTAACAGTTTGACAAGTTTATTGATAATGGTTTTAGATTCTGTGTACTAACCTTTACTATCTAGACTTATCTGAAAGACAATTAGAATATTTTTATTTTTTAACAGCATATCTTTGTGACATTGGATTTCATACATACATCAAACAAAATAACAGATCGTTACAGATTGAATACTGAAGCAGATATGAGAATCTAGGTGTTTTTTTAAAAAAACTAGACATTAAGAGATTTGTGAAAAATTTAAATTATGCCACTCTTCTTAAATAAGAAACTATATTTTGTTAGAAAATACAGTTTTTATTTAAAGTACATTGTTATATATAGGTGTTTTAAAATATTTTTAGGTTTGTCATTTTTATTTTCTAAAGTAGTAAATATTGATAGGCATAATTCATATAAACAAATGCTCTTTTAGGTCTTCAGTAATTTTTAAGAATGTATAGGAGTCCTGAGATCCAGTCATACGAGATCTGCAGGCCTGGAGAAACTAGTGGATTTTTTTTAGTGTCATGCAAAGAGGGAAATTCTATGTAAATTTTTATTATTACTGATTGCTTAAGCAAAGAAAACCATCATATATGTTTAGGATATTTTTCTGATAAAATTGAATAGCAGTACATTTTCCAAGAAAGTCTAATGTTTTTTGCTTTTGATTTTATTTGACAGAAATAGAAACCCGATGAATGAGTAAAATAGGTATGCTAATTGTTCTTTAAAGATGGTTATCTAAAAATTGAGTGAAATCTGGAGAAATCTTTAAATTAATAGGATTCTCCATAATTTCCCCAATTAAAAAAAAACAAAGCTGGTAATTTTTCATCTACTTTTTAAAATAATTATAGAGTAGGGCTAGGGCTATTGATGCACCATTAGGAAGGCCCATGCTCTCAGCCATGTGGGCCATCTGATTGAATCATGCAACAGACGTTGAACTACTATGATCTAGGAATTAGAAACAAGAGAGGGAAGGAAGGCCTGTACTTTCATGGGGGTGTACAGGCAATAAACAAGTAAACAAATACATGAAACAAGATAACTTTAAATAATGGTGAAGGGGCCGGCCCAGTGGCGCACTGGAGAGTGCGCCGCTTGGGAGTGCGGCGGTGCTCCCGCCGAGGGTTCGGATCCCATGTGGAGACCAGTTCCCACTCACTGGCTGAGCGCGGTGCGGGCGCAACACCGAGGGTTGTGATCCCGTTGCCGGTCCCCGGTACGGGCGCGACACCGAGGGTTGCGATCCCGTTACCGGTCAGTAAAAAGGACAAAAAGGAAAAAATAATAATAATGGTGAATGTTACCAAGAAATAAAACCTGGTAACAAGACTGGGATGGGTGGGGCTGCTTTTGCCTGGGCAGTCATGGAAGGCTTCCCAGAGGAACTTGTGGGGAAGAGCATTCCAGGTAAAGTACAGCACATCTGAATGGTGGAATCAGCAGAGGGTAGTGCAGGAGAGGAGGAAGAGCAGAGTGGCTGAGTTGTAGGCAGTGAGGAGGAAGATGGTAAAATCCGAGGGCAGAGGCATAAGGGCGTAGGGCCTATGGGCCAAAAGGGCAGTTTGGTTGTTTTTCAAATTAGGAAGAGAAGGCACTAGAACATTTTAAATAACACAATCTGATATAAATGTCACAATAATCACTCTAGTTGCTGTGGAGAATAGATTGTACAGGCAAGACTGAATACCTGTGCCTTAATAGAAAATGGAAATATGGTTGATAGAAAATTAAACATCAGTTTCTTTAAAGAAACAAAAAAGGGCCGGCCCGGTGGCGCACTGGAGAGTGCGCCGCTTGGGAGCGTGGCGGCGCTCCGGCCGAGGGTTCAGATCCCATGTGGAGACCGGTTCCCGCTCACTGGTTGAGCGCGGTACAGGCGCAACACTGAGGGTTGCGATCCCGTTGCCGGTCCCCGGTACGGGCGCAACACCGAGGGTTGCGATCCCGTTACCGGTCAGTAAAAAAGACAAAAAAGGAAAAAAAAAAAAAAAAAGAAACAAAAAAACCCTATGCCTTGAATGGGTTAATTTCTTGGTTTTAATAAATGCTCTGTGGTTATGTAAGATATTAAAATAAAGGGAAGCAAGGTGAACTGTATACAGGAGCTCTGCTGTTTTTATAACTCTTTTATAAGTCTGAAATTCTCTCAAAATTTGAAATAACTGTTATGTAAACAATAACAAAAAGCACTTTATACCTTGAATGAGCAATTAAAAGTTCTGATTTAGGTACAGTACCAAGAACAGATGAGTTCAGAAAAAGAAAAAAAACAGATTCTCTTGGTTAACTGACTTGGGATGAAATGCTTTCCTCCTTGAATCCAACTCTGGGCTGGGGCCCGGCAGTTCGTGTTTGGTTGTTGTACTTCTTAAAGCCCTCCTGGTGATTCCAGTGCTAACTAACATTGCATGGACAAAATTTCGGGTAGCTTCCTTTAATGTGTTCAGTCTTCATAATAAATGTTCTGAAATCCTTTGTCAACCTTTTTTTTTTCTTTTTTCTTTTTTTTAAATCTCCAGCAACATCTCGAATCAGTGATGCACACTTAGCAGACACAATGATTGGCAAAGCGGTGGAGCATATGTTTGAGACAGAGGATGGTTCTAAAGATGAGTGGAGGGGAATGGTCTTAGCACGCGCACCTGTCATGAACACGTGGTTTTACATTACCTATGAGAAAGACCCTGTCTTGTACATGTACCAGCTCTTAGATGATTACAAAGAAGGCGATCTTCGCATTATGCCTGATTCCAGTGAGTATATATTGGCAACTGGTACTTGTGATAATTCAAAAGGCATTTGGATTTTAGGACAAGATATTTGATTAATAACTGTTTCACAGATACTCGTATGTTTCTTTTAGTCACGCATAAATATAGGCTGTGAAATTTTTCATCCCTTTGTCATGAAACTTAGATAAGAAAATAGTGATAATCAGTTCTACTTGGCTTCTATAAAAAGTAAAGCTTATTTTAAAATTATTATTATTGTTGTTATTTATTTATTTATTTTATTTTTAAAGATGACCGGTAAGGGGATCTCTTGGCTTGGTGTTGTCAGCACCACGCTCAGCCAGTGAGCAAACCGGCCATCCCTATATAGGATCCGAACCTGTGGCCTTGGTGTTATCAGCACCACATTCTCCCGAGTGAGCCACGGGCCGGCCCTTAAAATTATTTTCTTAATACTACTATGTATTATTTGTTACTTTTTGTTATTTAAAAATACATATAAATGTATGGGGGGACCAGTGAAATAAATGCCCTTGTACCTTTCACGTGGCTTCAACAATTATTAGTTCATTGCCAGTCTTGTTGTATATACTCTTCCTCCAACTGAATTATTTTGAAGTTAATCGTAGACATTGATTATTTTATCTGTAAATATTTGAAGTTAACTTTAGAGAATACTGATTTCAGGAAACTGTTAATTGGGGAGCCTTTCAGTAGCAACTAGATTACAGGGTCAGTATTGAGACAGACCATTTAGCAGTTTCCACAAGTGGTCTCAGGTAATTTAAATTCATATGAGAAAGGTAGAAAAGGGTATGACCCGGGCTAATTCCATTAGGCTTTTTTTTTTTTTAAACAGATTTATTGTGACATAATTCCTGTAGCATATAGTTTAAGCTCATTTAAGCCCACTTAAATTCAGTGGTTTTTGGCATAGTCATAGATATGTAATCCTCACCATAGTCAACCTCAGAACATTTTCATTAGCTCAGGAGGAAACCTCACATCTTTTAGCAATTGTTCCCTTGTTTATTCTCTATCCCCTCTTCATCCCAGCCCTAAACTACCAATAACTTACTTTCTACATAGATTTACTTGTAAACTTTCATAGGAATGGGTTATATTGTATAGAGTAGGTTCTTTGTAAATAGTTTCTTTTCACTTAGCATGTTTTCAAGTTTCATTCATATTGTAGCTTGTATCAGTACTTCATTCCTCTTGATGGCCAAATAAGATTCCATTGTACAGATATACCACATTTTGTTTATTCATTGATGGACATTTGGGTAATTTCCACCTTTTGGTTATTATGAATAATTCTGCTAAAAACATTCATGTACAAGTCTCCATGTGGATGTATGTTGCCATTTCTCTTAAATACATACCCGAGAGTGGAATTGCTGGGTCGTAATAGTAACCCTGCTTAAGCATTTGGGGGAATTGCCAGACTAATTTTCAAAATGGCAGCATCATTTTATACTCCCACCAGCAGTGTATGAGGGTTCTGATTTCTCCATGTCCTTACCAGCACTTGGTGTTACCTGACTTTTTGATTCTAGCCATCCTAGTGGGTGTGATGTGGTATCTCATTGTGGTTTTGATTTGTATGACCCTGATGACTAATGATGTCATGTATCTTTTCATGTGCTTATTGGTCATTGTATATCTTCTTTGGTGAAATGTCTATTTAGATCTCCTGCCCACTTTTTAATTATTGGTTTGTGAAAGTCAATATTCTAGATATGAGTCTCTTACTAGATGCATGATTTGCATATATTTTCTCATTCTGTTAGTTGTCTTTTCACTTTCTTGATTGTGTTCTCTGAGGCTCAAAAGTTTTTAACTGAAGTCCAGTTTATCTTTTTTTTTCTTTTGTTGCTTGTGCTTTTGGTGTCATGTCTAAGAATCTCTTGCCAAATCTAAGGTCATGAAGATTTACCCCCATGTTTCCTTCTGAGAGTCATAGTTTTAGTCTTGCAACATAGGTCTTTGTACATTTTGAGATAATTTTTGATTTTGGTGTGAGGTAAGGGTCCAACTTCATTCTTTCTCATGTGGCCGTCCATTTGTCTGAGCACCATTTTATGAAAAGACTATTCTTTTCCCCATTAAGTGGTTTTGACACCTTGTTGAAAATCATTTGACCATGGATGTTTGAATGTATTTCTGGACTCTCAGTCATATTTATGTCTGTTGTTAGGCCAGTGCCACACAGTCTTGATTACATTGCTTTGTAGTAAGTTTTGAAATCAGGGAGTGTTAGTCCTTCTACTTTGTTCTTTTTCAGTATTGTTTTGGCTATTCTGGGTCCCTTGAAATTCTATATGAATTTTACAGTCAACTTGTCAATTTCTACAAGAAGTCAGCTGGGATTCTTATAGGGATTATGTTGAATCTGTAGGTCAGTTTGGAAAATATAGCCATCTTAACAGTGTGTTAACAAGATTTAACAAGTCTTCAGATCCATGAGCATGGGGGGTTTTCCATTTATTTGAGTGAGGGCTGCTTTGATTTCTTTCAGCAGTGTTTTGTAGTTTTCAGAGCATAAGCATTGCATTTATTTTGTTAAATTTAATCCCAAGTACTTTATTCCTTTTGATGATATTGTGAATGGAATTGTTTTCTCAATTTTATTTTTTTGATAACCCTGTTCTTTCTAAAGCTACTACATCGCCTTTCCTCAAACATATGGCTGGCAGACACTCCATACTTTAGCAGTGTGACAGTCATCTTGATTCCTTTTTTCTTCCTGTGAAGAAGCTAATGAGTGAACTTACCGATGTGCTCATCTAGCTTTGAGGTTGTTTCTTAATTTTTTTTTTTTTATATTTGTTATGAGGGGGTAGTAGAAGTTATTTATATACTCAGGAATTTGGTTATGAGACCATTCTAAAAGCATTTTTCCAACCTTTATGGAGTTTATTTTTAGCATTTTTGTGGAGAAATATCCAGTCAAAGCAAGTATTGTTAATCTGATAATAGAAAGCGTGAGGTCATTTGCACATACAGTCATGTGCTTGCTGCATAATGATGTTTCAACCAATAAAGGACCATATACATATATGATGGTGGTCCCATAAGGTTATAATATTGTATTTTTAATGTACCTTTTCTGTGTTTAGGTATGTTTAGATACACAAATACTTACCATTTTGTTACAGTTGCCTATAATATTCAGTACAATAACATGCTATACAGGTTTGTAGCCTAGGAGCCATAGGCTATACTATATATTGTAGGTGTGTAGTAGGCTGTAACATCTAGGTTTCTGTAAGTATGCTCTAGGATGTTTGCACAATGACAATATTGCCTAATGATGCATTTCTAAGAATATATCCCCATAATTAAGCTGCACATGGCTGTATTCCATCACCTTTCTTAACCACTTTTTGATCTTCTCACTTCTTTCTTTTTCCAACCTTCTAAATTTTTTGGCGAGTGGTGTGGCAGGTTATTTACCATTAGAAACAGTGGTGAAGCTCAGATATAACAGTTCTGAAATAGTCCTATAACCTTGGTTTAAGGCCTAGCTCTGTTGCTACAGTGGCCTCTATCTGAGTCCCTTGATTGGCTCAGAGTTACTGTAAAATTTATGTGATCTTGTATTTGGAATTCCTAGTAAATACTAAAGTGCCATGAAAGTATGATGTTGTTGCTTGAGGTAAGAAAGTTTTTGAAGAAAAGAGTCCAGTTTAGATTTCTTCTTTACTTTTGGAATTCCTAGTAAATACTAAAGTGCCATGAAAGTATGATGTTGTTGCTTGAGGTAAGACAGTTTTTGAAGAAAAGAGTCCAGTTTAGATTTCTTCTTTACTTTCCTGTTTGAAAGAATTGGTTATGTTTAGGCGTATTATTTGTATTTTGTGTGACTGTTAGTACCGGAGATCAGAATAGCAGTTTAGGGATTGTCATTCAGTGAGAGAACTTATTGTAATCAAAGAGGCAAGCTACTGTTAATATAAATACAATATGTGGCTCAAACCAAGATACTTGTAAGAGTAAAATGGAGCACTACTGCTAATTGTGCCAGGATAATGTGGACTGTCCTGTGCAACTGGGACTCTCTACCTGAAGGCCATCTGTTACTATAAGGAAAAGAGCTTTGAATTATTCAGAACCTGTAAGAAGTTTCTTAAAATACCATTGTAATGGCTTAGGCCCCCCACCCCCCACTTTTTTTCACTTTGTTTTTTTGTTGGTGATGATGATGGTTTGCTGTCATTTTATATGTTTTCCCAGAGGTCAGAGGGCAGTGCGTTTCCTGGGGACCTTTTAGACAGTACAGGTATCTGGGCTATCCTCAGAGATTCCATTGGACTTGGTCTGGAGTTGGAGTTCAGTTAACATCTGTTTTTAAAGCATGGGGAATTTATTTGGAAACTAGGTTAGGAAGATGATGTGGAATACAGTCAAGGCAAGGGGAAAGAAGCTTTAAGGATTCGTAAAGTAAAACCAATAGGCATTTTTAAGTATGTAGCATATTCTCAGTAATCCCTGTAGGAGTCGTCTGCTTTGAAATTCTACTTCAAGATTACTCAAGCTTATTTTTAGGTAATTACAACTACAATTAAATATGAGCCAAAGGAATTTTTGATTATGGTTTTCAATGTCTATATCTAGATATGGTTTTCATATATCTAGATCAGGGATTGGCAAACTATTTTTGTAAATAAAGTTTTATTGGGACACAGCCACACCCATTCATTTATGTCTCTCACCTATGGCTGCTTTAAGGCTATAGCAGCAGAGTTGAGAAGTTGAGACAGAGACCATATGGCCCTGAAGCCTAAAATGGCCACTCGTCTGGCCATTTAAGAAAAAGTTGGCTGATCCCTAGTCTAGATAATTATGATGAATTCAGGATATTTAAAAAAATTTTTATTATTAATATAAATGTGTGTGTCTGTGTTTCTAAAAATCAGTTTTAAAAGAAAAAGTTGGCTGATCCCTAGTCTAGATAATTATGATGAATTCAGGATATTTAAAAAAAATTTTATTATTAATATAAATGTGTGTGTCTGTGTTTCTAAAAATCAGTTTTAATTTTTTTTTTCTTCCTTTAAATACAGATGATTCACCTCCAGCAGAAAGGGAACCAGGAGAAGTTGTGGACAGCCTGGTAGGCAAACAAGTGGAATATGCCAAAGAAGATGGCTCAAAAAGGACTGGCATGGTCATTCATCAAGTAGAAGCCAAACCGTCTGTGTATTTCATCAAGTTTGATGATGATTTCCATATTTATGTCTACGATTTGGTGAAAACATCCTAGATGTCATCATGAACTTTGCCAAATTTGTGGAACTATTAAATGTATAATTTGTAGACATAAAGACTTGATTGCTTTCCAGTTTAATGAAAGCTTAAATGTCCCTGCGAACCCACAATCTCTGCCAGCAGAACTGGTTTTGTTTTGAATAGTACAGATTGATGTGAACACAAAGCATTTTGTGTGAGGAGGACTGCTTCTTAAGAAGCCTGTCTGTCTGGAGGGGAGTTACAGGCAAGTTTGGTAAAAGTAAAGCTAGTGTCATAGTCATTTAAAACTGTAATAGATCCTAGCCATTTCCACTTCACTCTAACACTCTCATTCTGCTGCCACAATGCAAGCATAGTTTGGTATTTTTGTTATTGCCTTTTTTGAGATATATGTATCTATATCTACCTACCTATCTATATCTATATCTATATCTGTGTGCATACGTATATAATATATATACACACACAGATACATGTGTACACACACACACCATTGGCAGTCCTTTCTTTGTGGATTGGGATGGGGGTGATATAATTTTCTCCAGTTTAATAGGAGTGCTTGACCCAAGTCAATCATATTTATGATATTACTACTCTTTATTTAAAATTAAATTTGGGCACAGGAAGCACATAGGGAAGTTCAGCTTGTTTAGAAATAAGAAGTTCAGAGTACCTTTTCAATATGGAGGCTTTAAACCATAAGTCCAAATATGAATTACTGGTTAATGACCCACATTAGAATTTTACAAACTGGCGAGAAATCTGGGTAAAAGGCTGCCTTTAATTCTTAGCTTTGTAAGTTTTTTTGTTTACATTTTAATCATAAATACTTTTTAGTAAAGCCCAGGTTCTTGGTCCACACAGTGTAACGTAGGTGTGTTTTGGATGGCACATTTGGTCCATTGTTTGTATAAATCAGTAATCTGGATATTAGTACATGGATCTAAAAGGCAACAGTACATCAGTGGTTTGTGTGTATGTGGTAAGTTCTTGGAAGAAAATAGTGCTTTTATATTAGAAATGTAACTTTTAAGAATGGCCTTGTTGCCATCTAACAAGTTCTCTGGGACTTTTAAATTTTTATTAGTGTTGTTATTATTGATTATGATTATGGTAAGAAGGCCTCTTCCCCCCTCC